CTTCTGAAGAAGGGTCTAGGCCCGAAACGTCAGCCTCTCTGCTCCTATGATGCTGCTTGGCCTGCTGTGTTCATCCAGCCCTGCACCTTGTTGTCTCGGATTCTCCAGCATCTGCAGTTCCTACTATCTCTTGTGAAATAAATAAGTACCTGGCAGGGAAATTTAGTGATGGGGAAAAATGTGAAGTAAGTAATTAGCTTAGTTAGGAAGAATGAGAAGAGGCAATATAAAATTAGTGTGTCAGTATTAAAAGCAGTGCAGGAAGATAGAGATCTTTGTATAAAAACACAAATCCTTTAAAGATAACATGACAAGGTGAGAGGGCCTTTTTAAACAAAGTTTCTAATTTTTTTGGTTAGAAAAATTGTGTAAAAGGAAGGCAGCCGTGCTAAATCTTTTTTACAAAATATTAATTATTTCACAGCTGGATATTATGGCCAACTCTATGTCTCACATTTGGAAGAACCGGATGGGTTTGGAGATTGTTCACAGGTGATTTATTAGAATGGTACCAGTGGTTTAAAGATTTATGTAAGTGGAGAGACTGGACAAGAGCAGAGAGATGGAGGACAATTTGAAGGTGTTCAACATCCTGAAAGGTTTTGATAGAGTAAAGAAACAGTTTTGAGTGGCAGATTTGATAACTATAGGGCACAGATTTAAGGTAATTGTCAAAAAATACCCCAAAGGCAACATGGGGAAGAATGTTTTAGCTCAATGAGTCCGGATGGTCTGGAAGGCTGATGGAAGTTGATTCAATAATAATGTTCAAGAAGTAATTCACTAACACTTGAAGAGAAAACATTTGCTGGTTTATGGGGAAAGAGGGGGATATCCATTTCAAGAGGTACCAGCACAGTGAGCTGAATGGCCATCTATGCTGTATCAGCGATTCTCTGATTTCTAACGGTCATTTGCAAAATGTCAATGGTCCTGTCCCTGGAATGAAAAGTGTAAAAATAAGTTTACTTTTTTATTTGGATGTCTCCCAGCCCTGATTCCTTTTATTTATCCTGTATGTTTCATGTGAGGGGGTTATTAAAATAGCAAATTCAGCTCGATTGAAACCATCAGAATCCAGTTGACACAAAGACATACACTGCCAGTTACCTGCCAGTGTCCAATCCATGTGCTCAGAAAAAGGAGTTAAATTGGAAGAATGTGGGATGGGAGCAGGACATTGGCCAGGGGATCCTCAGGATAATTTTAAACTGACCCCCAACACCGTCTGCTCCATTTCCATAACGCAGGTCTGGTTATAATCAATTCTTGAGTGTCTGAAATTGACTCTGTTCTTCAGGATTAGCATCCACTACCATATTTAAGCAGTTGCGTGGGAATATTGTTGATGGCTGGGTAATGTTTTTGCCTACTCTGCTTCCTCTCCCCACCCCACCTTAGATTGATATGCTACTGGCTGAGGTAACTGCACTGAAGACCCTTGTGATCACATCTACACCATCTTCTCCAAATAGGGAGTTGCACCCGCAGCTCCAGAGCCCCTCAAAGGCTGTCTTTAAGAAGGGCCACAGTCGCAACAAAAGCTTGAGCAGCGCCATTGTGACAGCAGCGACACAGAACACCCCGTTAAAGCCGATCAGCAAAGATGGCAGGGAGGTGAGTGTGGAAATTGATCTGATCAGCCTTAGCTAGCGAGGCAGACTAGCTGTCTTCTCTCGTCTGCTTCTCCTGGTTTACTTGTCTTGCTGGCTTGTCTGTCTGTCTGGATAAAGATGTGTGCCCCTCACAGTGTGAATGTGATTCAGTGCCTTAAGAGATAGTAACAACTGCTGATGCTGGAGTCTGAGATAACACAGTGTGGAGCTGGAGGAACATAGGCCAGGCAGCATCAGAGGAGAGGATGGACATGTCGTCCAGGGAGGGGGAGGGGAAGTTGAAGTGGTTTGTGACTGGAAGTTGTTGTCATTTGTTGCAAACCGAGCAAAGGTGCTCTTGTTTGATTTTTAAATGCGACATCAGCTGAACAAATCCTGGGTAATTTTAACCCCACTAACCCATCACGGGGGCAACTGTCTAGGTTTGGGGAGATTGAGAGAGCTGCGGCCTTGTCTCTATTTGCTGTAACTCTAATGGCTCTGCCACTGGTTGACTTGAAACTATAGGCCTCAGTACTAGTTTGATTTGGTGGGGTGGCGTTATGTTTATTGACCCAAAACCTGATCTCACTCAAAAGCAAGGGGTGCAAGCCCCTTGTCAATTCTGATAGGGAAAGATTAAGGACAATGTAAAGCATCATTTACTTGTGACTATTCACACAGACCCACATGTTGTTAGTGAACACTGAAGATACTTGGCACTTTGAGAGAACAGTGTTTTATTTAGAATTAATGAATGGGTGAATTTATTCATCAACCAGGATCTAATGTTTGTCTTCAAAGGCATGTTGAATTGAGTTCACAGGAAGTGTTCCTTGAATCTATTGGTTTGTTGGTCAATTCCCTGTCTGTCTGCTCTAAAATTCTAACTCTATGCTAACACTGATTTTTCATGGTGCTCCTGAAGGCAGGAGTGCCTACTCTCCTCTCTCTGCTGCTCTGCATCGTACCTGGGAGGGCAATTTATGTCACACCTGAGCCATATGGGCACCTTACCAAGCCATCATCAATACAGGAGCATCAGGTACAGTTATAACCTTGTGTTCAAAATGTCCTTCATGTTTCTGAGAATAATCTTTCTGTGAGTGTTTATTCCTCTTGATATTAAACCAGGATAAAAAGAATTGAGAAAGAACCAGGGTGTTATGGTGGATTAAATCCTAACTGTTCACCTCCAGCCCAGGCTAATAGCCAGTGCTTGGTCTGCTGTCACTGAGGGACAGAAATGAAATGAAAGGAGTTAGAATTTCTTTGATCTGTTTTTCCGTGAATGTGACTTATGGTACAGTACATGCGTTTTCCAGTAGCAACCAAGGGCAAGAATTTGAAATGACACTAGAAGAATGAAACAGGAAATTAAAGGAATGAAAAGTGTATCTACATTAAAAATGTAGGTTGTAGGTGACTTACGTTTGAGTCAGATCAGGCTTATCATTTCATTAACCCAATGGTAACATGAACCAATTGACAGCTTATTGTCATTCCACATCTGTATTATGAATAGTTATAAGGCTGAAGGAGAGTGTGCTTGGTGCTTAAGGTATAATTGAGGGTTAATATTGTTTGGAGTGTAAGTAGCCTTCTCGACAAGGAATGAGAAGGAGATGTTTTCTTACCTGCCTGAGCTCTGGTTTAAAGGTAATACTGCTGTTCCTGATGTTGGTGTCTTGCCCCTCACAGATTGACCTGATTTTGTTTGAGGAGTTCCAATCGTGGAAGGAGGATCCAACCCTGGATAAGGCTTCTCCGTTCTTGGAGAGGATTTACCAGGAAGACATCAGCCCATGTCTCTCCTTTGCCAAACATGAGGTGAGCTTGCTGGATGAAAGTAGATAACCTTTTGGAATGAGCTGCCATTAGGCAGAGCACAGTGATTTCCTGGTGGCACAGAGTTCTGGGGGATGACCTTCCGTAAAGATCATTGATCTCACGTTGTGCCTAGATGGGTGTCTTTGTAAGGGGCGACTTGCTGCTTGTGGTGTACGAGCATAAGGTCCTGGTTTTTTTGAGTTTCTTGTACCTGGTTTCTGTCTGAGGGGGTGGTCACCACTTCTGGGATTTCCTGTTGACTAATGACTCTAGTTGAGAGTTTTTTTTTAACATTTTCTTTATTCCCCTTTCCAAATGTCTTCGAGTATTTGGTGGTTCAACTTTCAAAAGCATTTTTTAGATCCAGTGTGTGTTGACTAGAAAATTTCTGCAGCAAGAGGGCAATTTTTTACCGTGGCAAAGACAATTCTAACAATTTGTAACTTTTTGAAAGTGAGGGTAATAAACTGGAGGGAGACTAGACTACCCAGAGTGACTGACTGTCTGTATCAGTAGTTGGGACAGGAGAATGAGCAACATAATTATCTGACTTTTTATTAACTTTAATTGGTTTATAGGTTAAAAAGTCTCCTTTTGTGAACAAATATTGAATTGTCCTTGTGTTTAAGATATAATATCCTTATTCTGTTTATCTTGCTGTTTATCTGTTTGACTTGCATGTTCTGATTTTTGTCTTGCTCTCCATCTTTTTATATATCCTATGTCATTTTGTCCTTCTGTGCTCTCTATCCTGCTCTGGCGCTCGTTCTCTCGCTCGCTCTCTCTCTCGCGCGCGCTGTCTCTGTCCTGCTCTGGTGCTCGGGCTGTCTTGCTCTCTGTGCTGCTCTGGCACTTGCTCGCTCTCTCTCTCTCTCTCTGTGCTGCTCTGGCACTTGCTCGCTCTCTCTCTTTCTCTTTCTCTCTCTCTTTGTGCTGCTCTCGCACTTGCTCGCTCTCTCTTTCTTTCTCTCTCTCTCCCTCTGTCCTGCGTTGGTGCTGCGCTCTTTTTTTTTTTTTTTCCCCCCCCCCCCCCCCCCCGCCCTGGTGCTCGCTCGCGCTTGCTCTCTCTCTCACTCGCTTTCTTTGTCTCTCGCGCTCTCTTTCTGTCCCGCCTCTGGCGCTCATGCGCTCTCTCTCGCTGTCTGTGTGTCTCTGTCTCTGTCTCTCTCGCTGTCTGTGTGTGTCTGTCTCTGTCTCTCTCGCTGTCTCGCTCTGGTGCTCACAGCTGACCGAAGCTGTCCAGACTGCTGTGGAGAACAACACTTTGAGTATTGAGCCAGCTGCTGCCCAAGCACTACCAGTAGTCAAGGCCTCAGCAATAGAGTGTGGAGGACCAAAGTAAGAGCACATTCTTCCTTTTATAGCCTTTCATCAGATTACTGTTAATTCGCCTGATTCTCCTCTTGATTTAATGTTCTTTCTCTCTTTTAGTGGGTGGCGGGCTGAAGTATTGACGTAAGTGTTTACATGGATATTCCTGATCCTAATGAACACTAACTTTTGTTTGTAATTAGCTTTTACTCACCAGTATTAATACAGCTTCTGTAAACATCATAGTGGCACATGAACCTATTCCTACAGGTACTATGTTCTTGCATTATGCCACAGCCTGTACTTTTTCTTCTGGTTTTTGGCTTTGGGCTTTGGGCTATATTGGTGCAGTAAGCACATTGAAATCAGCGGGCAGCTAATGTTCTGTGTGAAATTTGTCACACTTTCAATTAAACTTTTTCATTGGCTATTGTCCTATGCTATGTAGTTGGCCTTGAATTTTAATCCAGACTTGGAGAAACAGCTACAGGACAACTGGGGAAAGAGGATAATCCTACATTTGTACAGCAGAGGACTCTCTACCCTCAATGGTGCTGATGTGTGTCACTGGCACAGCGAAGCACAAGTGCATGCCAACTTGCTTCAAGGACCTTTGTACATTTGCATATGGATCCCAGAGATTTTTGGGTCAGAGACCGTGTGTGTTTTCAGAACGAGGCAGCAAGCACATAAGAATACTACAACCTGCAAGACCAATCCCCTCCAAGTCACAAACCATCCTGGTACGGAAACGTATTGCCATTCTGTCATTGGGTAAAACTCCTGGACTTTTTGCCCCTAAAGGCATTGTAAGAGTATCTCCTTCACATGGACTGCAACGGTTTCAGAATGTAGCTCACTTCTGCCTTCTCCTAGGCAATGGGGAATAAATTCTCACCTTGCCAGGAACACTCACTTTCCATAAGTGGATATAAAACTTCTGTTTGCCCATTTGTTGCCTGGTTTCTGTAATTATATAAATTTGTTAGCTTGCTAGCTTGAAATCTGTTTTCAGCACTAATAACGTTCTCTTTGCATTGCTAATGCTGTCTTTCAGAAGTTAGGTCAGATGTCTGTGCAGTTGTACCTGGGAAGGAGGCAGGTAGATGAGAACCCTGTGCTTGTTTTTCTGTAGCTGCAGAAGGGTAGCCTGTAAATCTATAGTGAGGATGATCATCTGCTCTGCGTGTTACTGGAACAATGAGGTTGGCTGTGTATGGAAGGATTAGGCATATCGGTTAGGCTGCAGGGGAATATTTGGCATATAGTCTACTGATGCAAATGATGGGTAGGCACTTTGCATGTGGCGATAATTCAATCTTTACTTTGGTCCTCTGAGGATTTGGGACCGTTTATTATGCAGTATATCTCTTCCAGTGGAGGAAATCTGAGGGCGTGTCTGTAAATATTGGGCTGGATTTTTAAATGGTGCAGGGTCTCGTTTGGAGGCTGGCAGAGGTATGACTTTGTGACTGGCCTCCAGCCTGGCTCTTTCCTTTTCACGGCCACAATCCCTAATCCTGAGCCGACCAGGCCAACAGGATGGACTTGGAGCAGGAAATGGTGGGGGACAATGCTGATGGATCAAGCAAAGGATCCCCCCCGACCTGTTACAGCTGCCAGGCCAGCGGTGTGACTCCTGGCCATCTCACTGGACAGGTTATCCCTCATCATCATGGCAAGGCAGCTGCGGCTGTTCAAACTTTTAAAAGTTGTTGGTGTGCCTTCTCTTTCTTAATTACACAGCACCTTCCAGCTCAGTCAGCTGAGCTGCCAATCTCTCTCTGTTGCAGGGTCTCCCATCGGCTCTCCAGCCTCAGGCACTGTCCACTGTATTTATTCGGATGTTAAATCGTTAATTGTTAATTGTCCTGGTCCATTATAAATCCCTGTACGTCTCTGGAATAGGCTGCACAAGGCCAGAACCTGGGATGTACTGGGGCCAGATTCCCAACTCTAAATGGAAATTGTGTGGATCAAATGGTCTTCACTCTGTTCTCTCCCCTAATATGACTGCAGTTCTGAAGATGTTCTGCAGAGGGTGGTAAACGCATAGCTGAATGTAGAATCCATGAAACTTGTTAAATATGTAATTTCTAAATTAGGCTATTCCCAGCGGATCTCGCATGCAGAGAGATGAACATGCTAAGTGCATGTTATATATATATATATTTTTAATCATTTAGGAAAAGCTTTTAAACCTCAAATATCCCTCCCTTATTCAGAAATCTACCTCACCTACACACTTTTTTTTCACCATATAACTCAATTCCTTCTCTTTCTCAAATGCGTCCTTTTGATATGTTTCAGTTCATTTCAGTGATCGTCCAGGGTAATATTTTCATATCTCTATTGCATTTTGTGTGAAAATTTCCAATGAACTTTCCCCTTTCGAGCTCACTTCATTCCAAGGCAATTTAGTTTGAAAGGAAGATTTCTTTTGAGTTTCAATAAAATTATAACTTTTTTTCCTTTTGAAACTGCTTAACGATTTTGTTGGAAAAGAAGACAGAAGAAATTTTCTTTGTACTTGACCTTTTTACAATGGTCAACAATCTTTTGTATGCTTAGCTTGATGGGAGCACTCTCAATTACTGTGTCCAAACTTAGGCTGATACTTCAGGACAGTACTAAGGGAGGTACAGTCTTTTGAGTAAGAGATGCCCATCTGTCCTGTAATTTGAATGGAAGAAATCCCACACCACTAGTTGAAAGAAGACCATGTTCTCCCAGTATCTTCACCAACATAGCACTCGATACCATGCAGATCAGGTTAATGGTCATTTACCACATTGCTGTTCTCGGGTCTTGTTAGCACAAAATGGCTGCAGCATTTCTCAGTGAGTACTTCAGTAGGCTTATTGGCCAAAAATAGATTTGCCAATATCACAAAAGGCATGATATAAATGCAAGTTATTTCTCAAAGTTGATCCTTGCATTATGTCATGATGTTTCTACTTTTCCTGAGTTGAAATTGTTATGTTTTAAAATCTGTCAAAGCTGGCAAGTATTCTCGCTGTGGCTACAGTGGAATCGCATCAGAGCAGCTGTCTGTAGCTGTTACACCTTCTCTTCCTCTGCTAGTGTGTGGACAGACAAGTGTAGGAGACACGGCCTGCAACAGCAGTACATGACAACGCTGTGAGGATTGCTATCTCTGTCTCTGCTTGTCTGTGGTAATCCAAACTCTGTGACTGGCTGAGTTGTCACTACCTTTCGTCCTTCAGTTCGATATACCTGAGGGCTCTGGTATGTTCATCTCTGTTTGCTACTTCGCTTTGTTGAAACCAAAAGTGGTTACTTTGTCTATTACCCCCACTTATCCTTTCCCAGGACCGAGAAGAAAGTGATCAACTCCATCTTTAGTGCCAAAGGTTGGTTCACAGTCACTGAACCAGGACTGTGTTGCAATATGGAACAGGTCAAGGTACCTCTGTATTTGTCCTTCATGTCCATGGCCTAGGGAGGGAAAGAAATTTAACCACTGGGAAGTTTCATTTTTATTTGAAAGATTTTTGTTAGTTGTGTTCTCCAGGCAACAGAGGAGATTAAAACACACATTTGTGTGCACACAAGCATAATACACTTGTGGGGATTTAACTTAACAAGGAAAGTCCAAGAGGATTGCTGGGAGTGAGCATGACTGCAACCCCTCATTAATCAACACCTTCAGAATAAAGTAAAATGTCTGCTTCAGAAATATGCTGCTTGAAGGATTAATGGAGGGGCCTCTGTGTGTATCTGAAGGGGCTGGAGATTGCTGGAATATTTTCTGTGATTATATAAATAGTTATAATTCCTGCAGATCAGGAAGGAAGTACTGTACTCCAGGGATATGATGGCTGATAAGAAAGGTGACACCACGGCAGGAGAGGGAGAAGTAAAAGAATGCTCTTGCACACCATACAGTTAGGCAGGCTGTGAAATGTAGAAGACGAAAACTGGAAAATAAACACGCTGGAACAGAAAGACACTAGAAAAGGAAGATGGGGGGAGGAAGATGGAGGGTAGAAGTGTATGTTAAAAGTACTTGATCATCCTTTGACCTAGATGACAGAAACAGTTGGCTTAGTCATAAGAGACAGAGGGTAGTGGTGGAAGGATGTTTTTGGAATGGAGGGTTGAGAGTAGTGGTGTTCCACAGGGGTCAGTGCTGTGACTTCTGCTGTTCATGGCCTACATAAATGATTTAGAGGAAAATGCAGCTGGTCTAATTATAAGTTTGTGGATGATACAAAATTGGTGGTGTTGTGGATGGTAGGGAGGATTCTCAAAGGATACAGCAGGATATAGATCAGTTGGAGACATGGGCAGAAAAATGGCAGATGGAGTTTAATTGGACATACGTGAGGTAGTGCATTTTTTTTGAAGGTCAAGTACAAGTGGAAATTATACAGTGAATGGCAGAACCCTTGGGAGTATTGATATGCAGAGGGATCTGGGTGTGCAGGTCCACAGATCACTGAAGGTGGCAATACAGGTACATAAGGTAGTAAAAAAGGCTAATGGCATGCTTGCCTTCATTGGAAGGGGCATGGAGTATGAGGATAGACAAGTTATGCTGCAGCTTTATAGAACTTTAGACCACACTTGGAATATTGTGTACAGCTCTGGTCACCACACTACCAGAAAGAGTGGATGCTTTGGAGAGAGTACAGAAAAGGTTTACCAGGATGTTGCCTGGTATGGGGGATTTTAGCTATGAAGAAAGGCTGGATAGACTGGGTTTGTTTTTACTGGAATGTAGGAGGTTGAGGGGCAGCCTGACAGAGCTTTATAAGAGATAGTAGGAACTGCAGATGCTGGAGAATCCGAGACAACAAGGTGCAGGGCTGGATGAACACAGCAGGCCAAGCAGCATCATAGGAGCAGAGAGGCTGACGTTTCGGGCCTAGACCCTTCATCAGAAAAGGGGGAGGGGAAGGGGGTTTTGAAATAAATAGGGAGAGAGTGGGAGGCGGATAGAAGAGGGATAGAGGAGAGGATAGGAACGCCCTCAACCATGTCTCCCACATCTCCCGCACCTCATCCCTCACACCCCGTCCACGCAATAAGAACCAAAAAAGAATCCCCCTCGTCCTCACGTACCACCCCACCAACCTCCGGATCCAACGCATCATCCTCCGACACTTCTGCCATCTGCAATCCGACCCCACCACCAAAGACATCTTTCCCTCCCCACCCTTATCTGCTTTCCGGAGGGACAACTCTCTCCGTGACTCCCTTGTCCGCTCCACACTCCCCTCCAGCTCCACCACACCCGGCACTTTTTCCTGCAACCGCAGGAAGTGCTACACCTGCCCCCATACCTCCTCCCTCACCCCCATCCCAGGCCCCAAGAAGACTTTCCACATCAAGCAGATGTTCACCTGCACATCTGCCAATGTGGTATACTGCATTCGCTGTACCCGGTGTGGCTACCTCTACATCGGGGAAACCAAGCGGAGACTCGGGGACCGCTTTGCAGAACACCTACGCTCGGTTCGCAATAAACAACTGCACCTCCCAGTCGCGAACCATTTCAACTCCCCCTCCCATTCCTCAGACGACATGTCCATCCTGGGCCTCCTGCAGTGCCACAACGATGCCACCCGAAGGTTGCAGGAACAGCAACTCATCTTCCGCTTGGGAACCCTGCAGCCCAATGGTATCAATGTGGATTTCACAAGCTTCAAAATCTCCCCTCCCCCTACCGCATCCCAGAACCAGTCCAGCTTGTCCCTGCCTCCCTAACCTGTTCTTCCTCCCACCTATCCCCTCCTCCCACCTCAAGCCGCACCTCCATCTCCTACCGACCAACCTCATCCCGCCCCCTTGACCTGTCCGTCCTACCTGGACTGACCTATCCCCTTCCTAACTCCCTACCAGAGCTTTATAAGATTGTGAATGGCATGGATAGAGTGGAAAGTATGAGGCTTTTTCCCAGGGTGGAGGGGTCAATTAATAGGGGACACAGGTTCGAGGTGCGAGGGGTGGGGGGAGAAGTTTAAAAGAGATGTGCAAGGCAGGTTTTTCACACAAAGGGTGGTGAGTGCCTGGAACACGCTGCCAGAGGTGGTGGTGGAAGTAGACACAGTGGCAGCATTCGAGAAGCACCTGGACAAATATATGAATAGGAAGGGAATAGAGGGATACAGATCCTGTAAGTGAGGACAGTTTTAGTATGCAGGGGCAAAATATGTCAGCGCAAGCGTGGGGGGCTGAAGGGCCTGTTCCTATGCTATATTGTTCTTTAGATAGTAGGAACTGCAGATGCTGGAGAATCTGAGATAACAAGGTGTGGAGCTGGATGAACACAGCAGGCCAAGCAGCATCAGAGGAGCAGGAAGGCTGACGTTTCGGGTCTAGACCCTTCTTCAGAAATGGGGGAGGGGAAGGGGATTCTGAAATAAATAGGGAGAGAGGGGGAGGCGGATAGAAGATGGATAAAGGAGACAATAGGTGGAGAGGAGACAGACAGGTCAAAGAGGCGGGGATGGAGCCAGTAAAGGTGAG